ATGTTCATCAAAAGACCTAAATCTAAAAGGAAAATAAACTATAATGAAATATTTTAATATTTCATCTATTTTAAAATTATTAATTCTAGTATAATTTAGTGAATATGTCAAAACTGAGCATATACTCACGTGAAAATAAATAAATAACATGCCACGTCATTAATTCCCCAACTCATAACTATAAAATATATATATTTATAAAAAAAGAAAAAAAAGAAAACCCTACATGCAGGGAAACAACAAAGATAAAGGTGTTTGAGAGAGAGGCAACTCGTGGTGCTCTTTCTTCTACGGGGAAGACAGGCGGGAAAGGGCGTGCCCCGGTAGGTTATACTTCGAGTAATACGTTCAAGTTCGTTGAATTATTGCTTCGTCGATATTTATTGACTAATTAGGGTAATTAATTAATATTTAATTAAGTGTAATGGTTTTTAATATTAACTCTTATTGTTATTCTTATCCAAAAAGTCAACCGATCTTCGTGGACTTTGATTTAAATAAAAAATGTATATATAAATCAAAACATGTGGTGTTTAATGTGCATTAGTTTTTATCCACGAAATTAACAAATCTCTTTGAATTCATTTTAGCGTATATTGGTTTTATGAATTAAATCAACGGATCTTCGTGAACTTTTACCGTCTTCAGTTCGAACCAAATTACATGTATTAGACAAGGACACGTCGTGTTCAATGGTTTTTATTCATGAAATCAACGAATGTCCGTGAACTCTTTGTTAAGTCTTGGGTTTGAACCAAAATTTCTATATTAGACTGTAATGTCTCATGTTTAACGTATAGTGGTCTTTATTAATGGTATTAGACAGAAACATGTTGATTAGTTTGTATTAAACCTTAAATTTGAATCGATAATCGTATATTATTAACGTATGCATGGTTCAATAGGCCAATATTTAATTTACCTCTGGACCGTTTAAGGTTTAAATTTTAGACTTATACTTAAAAATTAAGTTCAAAGAAAAATAAATCATCAATGACCCATCAATTCACGTTTATATTGAGATAAATAAATTAAATTAATGATATTTCAGTGTTTTTTTAATAATTATTCTGAGATACTTATAATAAAGTGTGATAAAATAAATAAATAAATAAACTTCCGGAGCTTTGTTAAATAAATTAATTGAGAACGGACGGTAGATGGCATGGACTATTTATTTGATTAATGAAAAATAAATTAATTTGTTATTATTATTTTGAGTAAAGAAGATTGACTTGAAATTCGGCGATGAAATGCAGGTAGAACTACAAATAATCGGGAAAATAAAAGGAGGAAGATACGATGAATGGGAACCGGTGAATTTCACGTGCAATACGTTGAGAACCCCATGCAGGCAGGAAAATAGAGGAATGGAAGGTGGGAACGCATTCCACGTGGCGATCCAAATTTAGGAAGTCGTATTAATCACGAGTTTTTCGTTTTTGGGGAGAATTTGTTGGCGCGACGCGAGAACAAGCAAGGGGAAGCCTGTGCCGTTGGTGGCCGTGGCCGTGGCCGTGTTTACGTGTTTTTTTCGTAATCAAAACCTAAACGCGGGGTCGCGATTTATTGCGAGTTTCTCATTTTACAATAATAATAATAATAATAATAATTTAAAGTAATTTTATTTTACTATAGATATTAAAAGATTTTCCAAGGAAGATGGAAAATCTTTTAACTCTTGTAACATATTTTTGGTACGGTAACTAATTATAAATATATAATTTCATTTCAATTCAATAATAAAGTCGAGATTCTATTTTCGATTAATTCAAATAAATACAATTAAATTAATTTTATTTCTATAATTATTGATTATATTAGGATTGTTTTTTCGTTACAATTGTAAACACGTCTTTAATATCTAAACAAAATTGGCTAAATATATATTTTGGTTTTTAAAAAGAATTATAGGTTTTATGGTCTATAATTTTTAATTATATTATTTTTGTCGATAACTATTAATAATTGAGTTACCATAAGCTTACCTACCTAACAAAATAATTAGATTATATATATATATATATATATATATATATTTTAGATGAGAAATTAAAAGATAATTAGATTGTAATAACTCATAAAAATTCAATGAGATTATATATTTGCCAATTTTTTAGAATTTTAAAATTTAAAATGAAATAATAAATAGTTTAATTCTTCTTTTACATCTTTATTAATAATTAACTATTAATATAATCTGAAAATGCTTAAGGTAGAGTGTTCTTTTTTTTTTTTTTTTTGTGAAAATAAAAATTTGAAAAATAACAATAAAAATCAAATTGAAAATCCACTGGATTAAACATATATTTATTTTTTTGGTGAATCCCAAAAATGTAGCCAGCTGGGCTTCATCAGACCTCTGTCGCCAAACCCGACGTCGTTCGTCAGGTGGGGCCCACCTATGTTCTTTGGGTTTTCGGACATTTAGTTTAGACGTCACTGGGCGAATTGTGAATTCTTAGGAAGAACGTCAATTTCAATAATTATTGCTTTAGAAACCATGAATTAAATTAAAACAAAATCATATTTATTTAAAAACGATTTATAAATTAAATTAAAACGTATTTTAAAATATATTTATAAACTATGAAACTAGCTGTAATACAAATCATGTTTATTAATTTTTTATGATTAAAAAACTTTAAATTCAAGTTTTCGGTAAAAAGAAACATAAAAACATTGTTTAGAATTTCACACGTAATCTTAAAAACAATCTTCAACAATATATCTACAAAATATATTTTTATTGAACTCGATGAATCGTAAAACATAAAATATAATTATACATAATCAACCAATCTATCTATTATTGTTTTGATCTTCTACCGTTATTATTTTATCTAGAAGAATAAATTATTATAATAGACGATCTCGACGTAACTAAAAGCTTTGTATTGTGAAATATTAATATTTAAATTTTTATTATGATCTATCTTGTAATATTCTTCGTTAAGATTTTTATACTTTATTATTTTTTAATTATAAATATCTATCTACATTTTTTCTCTTTCCTAATTTTTTTTATTTTATATTAATTACAACTAAAACTAACAGTAAAAACAATAATTTGGTTTTAAAATAATTACTATTTCGTAAATATTATTTTATGGGTAAATGAAAATGGTCTTTCAGTTTCCAGTTGTTTAGTGTAGAGGATAAGAAATGCTCCGTCAATTTTGGACTTCAATTTTCGAAAATGGAATAATTTTTTTTTTATTTATTTAAAAAAACCAATATTTAATTTGAGAGTAAAAAATAGGGGGGAGAATATTCTATTTCCCATGGGAAGGCAAGAGATAAAATTTTGAGGCTCTTTCGAGATCGGTAAGGACACTGACCCATTTTTATTCCCTGTCCCACGTGGATGTCATGCTCTTCAAGTCCCAATAAATCTTTTGTCAAATAATAATTAAAAAAAAAACAAAATGGAGATTGAGAGAAGAGGCGAAAGAGAAATTTTCGAGCCTGTAAGCAACAATGGTGGAAAAAGCCATTGTGGCTAGCTTGTAGTTTAGGGGTCTTGTAGGGTGCCCTTTTCGAGAACGGATATTGTTTCTAAGATTAGTTTTTTTAGAACCCTAGTTTCGGAGGTTTTCCTGGCTTATACCCTTTTAATAAATGAAAAGGAGCTTACCTTTTTCAGCTTCATTGCAATGCAGCATAATACAATGAATCCACTTGCTGGGTTGGATGAGCCACTTTTACCTCATATCCGAGCTAACTAATAGTTGAGTGGCTAGCTACTTTCAATCATCAAAGGAAAATATTTGTCTAATATATATATATATATACCCATATCTCAAGGAATGGGAAGGACAAAAATGTAATATTCTGACACTTAGATATGAAACTATAGTCGTTGTTAGATGATGAAAGTCCCACATCAACTAATTTATGGGAATGATCCTGGGTTTATAATAAATGAATACTCTCTCTATTGGTATGAAACATTTTGGAGAAGCCCAAAACAAAGTCAGAAAAGCTTATGCTTAGAGTGGACAATATTGTGAAGAATCGTGTTCATCTAATACTCACCGTAATAAAAAAATGTATTATAGTTTTGAAGGGTTTAAAATGACTGTAGTTTTAAACCAGGAATGTACTTAAAGCGCTTGGGAAAAAAGAAGTTTGAGTATTGAAGTACAAAATTTATGAGCTGAATGTTAAATTATGCTGTAAAATTAAAAATTAACGTAAATTTTCTCGAAAATACTGCTAAAAAATAGCAAAAAATAGTCTTCATGTCATTTAAAAAGTTGGTAAGGAAAAACAAAAGGCCGTTATAACCGCCTTAGGACCGGCCCACATTCCACCGACAATCCCCTATTCCGACCAGTTGGGCTCCCACCCGTAACAACGGCCCAAATTAACCGATTTCTTCGGGCTTAATATATATACCCACACTTATCACGTGTTCAAATTTCATCAAAACATCTTAACGTTAATTATTATTGTTTTTATTTTTTTTTAATATAAGTAAGTGATGATAAATAAATTTTTTTATCAAAAATAAATATGAAAATATATTTTTTCTCTTAAAACAATTTGTATATTTTTCTCAAGTTACATCGACAAATAATAAATAAGTACATATATAGTCCACCGTTGTCATTATTTTTTAATTTTTAATATAAGCGATAATAACACAAATTTCACTTCCAAAATAAAATAGGAGAGAAAATACAATTGAATTGTTTCACATATATTTTAAAAATTAATAATTTCACAAATTTAAACTTTGATGGGTGTGATTATTGTCGTCGACATTTAATTTTGATGAATTTTTTTATCGTATAAATTAATTGTTACGAAATTTACAAATAAAATTAATATCAAATTGCAATTATATGATGAAAGTTAGGGTAAATATATTATAAGTGAGAATTAAAATGTGATTTTTAATTATTAAAAAAAAGAGAGAAAAGAAAGAATAAAGAAATAAAGAAAGAAAGAAAGAAAGAAAGAAAGAAAGGCACAAAAAAGAAAGAGAAAAATGTTTAGAAATGATTTGCGTCCCATCGCAATTCGCAAAGCATAGCATAGCATAGCGTAGCGAAACCTCGACGGTCTTAATTTCAGACGCAGGTTTGACCGCTTCCCTGAAACTGGATTAACCGATTTTCCCAGCGCAATCCTGAAATTAATTGAGATTTCCGCCGGGTTTATGACCTCAATACACCGCTTTCGGTTCTCTTCATCTACCATCGCCATCGAAGAAGCTCCAGTTGAGATCCCTCGTCCTGCATCCAAAACCACGGGATTCCTTCGCCGAATTTGAGCTGCGCGATCCGACGAGGTAGGCCTCGTTAGAATTTTGTAAACTTTCACGATTAGCTTGAACTGAAGCTCAATCATTTCGCTAACCTTCTGAATTTTATCTGTTCGTTTTCGCAGTTTTTCCTACATAGCATTTTATCGTTGAGATATACAAAGCGTTGTTTGGAATTGGAGAATTCATCCAGTGATTTTGTTTGCGTCTTGGATGAAACGTGAATTCACGAGCTGATTTGTTTTGTATGTTGCTCGTTTATTGGCCATTTGCAGAGAAACAATGATCAGTGAAATAGATGTCGTGTACATAATTATGGATTACACCGGAGCTCGCTTAATCCAGGTAAATTAAGCTCGTTTATTGGAATCATGGCTATAAATTACTCTTTCCGTTCATCAACATCGAGTGATGTGAATTATTGAGTTCGTTTAATAGAAAAAAGCTGGTCTATGCAGAAGCAATGGATTCAAAGGACCGCCTGATTCTGGATCATCGTATTGTCAAGTAATGGCAACTTGAAGTTCTTCGAGTTCTTGTAGGAAGCAATGAACATAGTTAAGGGCGTAGCTGACTTGATTCGGAGGACATCCAGTGGCCATATTGGAGTGTCCGGTACAGGGTCACAAGCTAACAGTCCATATCCTCCGAGTCCAAAAATACGATTCAGGTATTTGCACCCTCCTTATGATTTCCAGAGGGCTTAGTCAAGAGTTTTGTTTTTAATTTTTTTTTTTGTTAATTTTATTTTATTTATTTATTTATTATTTTAAAAATTTAAATATATTAGAACCTCTAGTTCTAATGTATAGCAAATATGTGTTTATGTTTAAGCTTTATTTTTTGGCACCACATATTTCAATTACTGTGTTAGCACTGCTCTTATGCGTTGGATATATATATATTTTTTGCTTCACTTATTATTATACTCAAATTGGATGATCATATTTAAATTTTATTTGGAAATTTTGAACATGGAGTTTGTAGTTCATCTAATGGCCAAGGAGTATGCATTCTTTATTTTGGGAAACAAAACACTTCATGTCCAATTCTTGTGCTGCTGTCTTCTCTTTATATCAGTTTTCACTGTTCTCATTTTCTTTCCTCCTCTTGTGGCGGCTGCTATGCCTTATTTTATATTTTTGCAGTGAAGATGGCGACGAGGCGATTCTGAATGAACTTTGGGTTAGATATGAGAAAGCTGTTGATAAGGTATGATTCTGACCTTCTGAACTTCTTTTTTCTTTATAATCATGAAGAATGCTCGGAAGTTTTTTCGAAGTGTCTTCATTGGGAAAGCAATGATATTATGTTTAATGTGACAATTTCCTTTTACGGGATCTAATTGATATAGTTTACTGCATATTATGTACTGAACTATTGGAATAAGCACAAATTCGAAACAAAGTCTTGTAGAGAGAAAAGTTTAACTATAGTTTGTCTTGTAAGATACTACTACTTATATATATATATTTATTTAGCTGTATGTGTGTGCACGCGCGCGTATATGTATGAATGTGTTTTTTATGTGTATTTCCAAGTTTTATTGATAATGGATTATTGTATAGGGACAAAATGTTATAATTTAACAAAAAAGCTAGTTTTTTTTATAAACTTATTAAATCTGGATTTGTATTCGTATCTCTGTTTCAGTCTCTCAAATTTATTCTTACCGTGCAATATTCTTAATCTTTAGGGGGAAAGAAGAAGGATGTTTTATGTTTTCTTGAAGCAATTTATTGTTGTATACAAGAACTGGAAACCAATAAATGCTGGCTGGCTCCCAAAGGATGCCTCAACTTCTGTTCAAACCATGAACTCGTCTACTTTGGATCATACTGTTGTTGGCTGCTCCAGTGGACATCCTTCCGAAATCATTTTAAAATTAATCGAAGAGGTCAAGCAATTGACTTCTGTTGTAGTTGAATGTAAGTTGATTTATCTCCCCCACTTTTGAGGATGCTTTTGGTATTTCTTTATTTTATCTTTTTTTTTTTTTTTCCTGATGAATTGGTTATTTACTTTTTGAAAACAAATTGAATGATTTCTGCTATGTTTGAGAGTGCATCTGAGATGCACTTTAGTGAATAAAATGGTCATCAACGTGAACTCCGTTCTGCATGATATAAGGTCTTCACTAATATGCAAAGCAGTATTTCGTTGGTTTGGTTGATTTTTTGGGCTTTTGCTGATGGAAGGCTATCGTTAGAATTCTCTGGTTTTCTTATGTTTGGCCGATTGGCCCTATGTTACTTATTTTGGAAACGTAGTCGTTGGGGGTAATTTGTTAGGGAAGTTAGAAGCTTGTTTGAGGAGGTTAGTTAGGGCGTTGAATGGTTTTATTTAGATTGGCTGTTGGTTGAATGCCCCGTGGTAGTATAAATGCCAGCCTTTGTATAACTTTTTGAGCGGATCTTAATTATTTTCAAGCCTCATCGGTTTACACCGTTCACTTTCACCCCAATGCTGTTTTAGTTATATAAGACAGTGTACACTAGAGGAGAGAAATATCTGTCTTTGAGAAAGAGAATTATTTTTCATGACTGGTAATCTTGTTTTGGGTTTCCATGCCTCCATCTTATTCTAGATTTCCTCTCATTTTATTGTATTTGATGTCGAGTTGTGAGGGTAGGCGACGACAGACTTCTTAAGGCATTGACGTTGTTGACCTTCCCTTTTTAGCTGACTTTATCAATTGCACTGAACTTTCGACTCAGGGAGGTCAACAGCAGACATACTTGGAGCATCAACTGGATTAAATTTAACTTCAGAAGGGTTTCTGATCTTGGATGCCCTGGCAATAGTTATGCGTTCGATGCACAACTGTAAAATTTTTGGGTACCATAGTGGGATTCAGAAGCTCACAGCATTGATGAAAGGTGGTCTCATCGCTTCCGTATATAAATATCGCTGCCAATATTTTCTCTACTTTCAGCTTGCAGTCTGATTTCCTTAATTTCAGGGGCTGTTATCCAACTTAAGACAATAGCAGGCGAACTTTCTGGCGATGAAGGTCTATCGAATATTGTTGTGGAAAATACGAGACTCCTACAACTCGTGTTAATAAATGTGGTGTCGATAGTACACTCCTTTATCGATATAGATTCACTTCTATGTGCGGAGGATCATTCTCTAAGCATGAATATACCATCTTGTGAAGAGAGATTAATGTGGCGTCAGAAGGCGGTTGTGTCAGTGATGGAAGCTGGTGGAATTAATTGGTTAGTAGGTAAGGTATGCCAGTTTGAGTAACCAAACTTGTCATCAAAACTAAGTGATAAGTACAATAATCCATTGAAATGGTGTCATGTAGAAGAAACTTGTAATCTAATTTTCACTACGCCATCATTAAATGTTTTTTTTTTCTCGATCTTTTGTAAACCATTATTATTACTAAATTTTTTCATCCACAAAATTTATATTGCTTTTCTTGTAGATCCTCAGTATTTATTATTCAGGCTGATAAGGATTTTAAATTTTTTTTTTTTTACCAGAGTTGTTACGCGTTACTAGAAGGCTGAATATCAAAGAACAAAATATCGACGTGGAGCTCCAATGTTTGGCTATAAAAATTCTCTATTCTGCATTATCCGAGAACCCACGGGGTCAAAATCATTTTAAAAGCATTGGTGGACTTGAAGTCTTGTTAGATGGCCTTGGACTTCCATCCAAAATCGTTTTAGCTCCGAAGGACCTGGCTGGTGCTGACCAGAAAAGGTGTACACCCTTCACTCTAATTTATTTCGATTTCTTGCGTGTTGGATGTTGTCTGTGAGAGGAGTCTCGATAAATTTTTCTTTGGTTATTGTCAATGGATATATCAATGTCTTTATTTCTTTTGACTGCTAACATTCTTTCTAAAATATTTTTCAGAGACGAGAGCAGCTTTCTTAACATTTTGCAGCTGCATGTTCTTTCACTGGCAGTCCTTAGAGAGGCCGTGTATCCTTTTTTCTTTTTTCGTTTCTTATTCTATTGTTCTCTACTGATTTTCTGGTACTTTCATGAATATCCTGTGCCAGATGCGATTTGGAAGTTGATGCATGAATATGTTCATTGTTTCTTACTTGTAAAGTACATGGATTGTTGTATTTTATCAGCTTCTCTACTGTTGTATAGCTTGGGTTTTATGATACCTTTTTGTTCTCAATTTCATCCAGAAGTTAATACGTGATTGGCGTCCTTAACTGCATCCAGCTTTGGGAATTTAAACAACATGCAATTTTTGTGTGAAAATGGGAGAATCCATAAATTTGCAAATAGCTTCTGTTCTCCAGCGTTCACGCTTCAAGAAGAATTCAAACTGCAGATTGGGGAGTTATCTGGACAGCAAGATTTTAGATGGCCTAGTCTTGACTGTAAATATAATGTTGCAGCACAATCAGGAGAATGTTCTGTTTTACCTTTAGCCAATCTTACTCATATTCAATCTTGGAATGAATATGTTGTGAAGTTATGCAGAGTACTTTGTTCTTTTCTTCTTGCTCCAGATGATGTTAAACCTCATCATCCTCAAGCATCTTCTATTCGAATCATGACACCGGTTTCATTGGTCTACGGTGATCTTTCAATCAAATGGGTCATGAGGGTACTTGTAGCCGTGTTCCCCTGCATTAAGGCTTGCTCTAATCAAAACGATTTGCCTGCCCACTTGAGGTCTATTTCTTGGTCGACTCAATCCGTCTTTCCTATAACTATTATGTTTTTTTTTTTTTAAAATTCTCAAGTCTACCATTTCCCCGCGCTGCTATTTAACTCGTTTTGTAGGATCCTTGCCAATGCTTTGCAACACTCCGTCCTTGCTGCATTTAGAAAGTTCCTTGTTTCTTCTCCGGTGTCTCTTGAAATTTTTCGAGAAGAGGGGATATGGGATCTTTTCTTCTCTGAGAACTTTTTCTATTTTGGACCTGCTTTTGAGGAGTTTACCCTAGAATCTTGGACAAATAATGATGATTTCTTGGAGAAACCTGAAACATATTATGCTACTAGCTCAAACTGTCCACCAAAGGTTGACGGGGTCGATATGATTCAAATTGAAGTCATTTCATTTGTAGAGTTCGCTGCAACTTCTTGTGGAAGTGCACATAATTTAGTAAGTTATTTATTATTTCCTGATACCGCACCGACTATACTTGATTCTTTTATTATGACGTAACAAATAATATTTCTTGCTCAACTGGAATATTGGTCCAGATTTTTCAGGTTATTTAATTAGAAGCACGTATAATGTAAATCACCACTTAACCCAAAAGCTTAAGCGGATGAATTGTGTTAAATTTAATTATATAGGTATTCTAATATTTCCCGGCTTGAAAATTAATAGAAAGCCCAACAAGTGGAATCAATTGGAGGGAAAATGATATTATAGGGATTTGAATACAAGATCTCCTGCCATAATACCATGTTAAATATTAGACCATATGATTAGTCAGCCTTGTAATATTTGTTGCATTATGTTCTGTTATTTATAAATATTCAGCTTCTGGCTTTGATGCATTTTATAACTCAAAACTTCGTAATTGGCAGCCTGAATTATCCGCTTTGTTAGACACCCTCGAACAGTCTGCTTGTAATTCTGAGGTTGCCGTTGCTCTCTCTAAGAGCCTCCTCCGCATATTACAAATTTCACCTGAGAGAACTGTTGCTTCATTCAAGACATTGAATGCCATTCCTCGGTTGCTTAAAGTTGCGTGTGTTCAAGCCCAGGAACATAGAAGATCTGGAAATGCTATTTCATCTGATATTAATTTTGTTGAAGGTATTCAACCTCGAAGTAATCAGGGACACGATTCACGTGAGACAGCTCAAAGTTGTCTCACATGCTTGGAAACCATCATGGAACTTTTCACAGAATTTTCCTCAAAAGGAGATGATGCGCAAAAGTTGGTTCTGCTTAATCCAACATCAATTGACTGTCTGTTTGAATTATTTTGGGAAGAAAGTTTGAGAAGCCGTGTACTTAAACACACACTTGTGCTCATAAAGGTAATGTGATATTACTGATTTGTTCTAGCTAAGTTCTGTACCTTTTCAGGTTTCCTTCGAGAATGAGTTAAGAAGTTGTATCTCTTCTTTATTTTTTATTTTATTTTATTAGAGAGATCAAAAGATTTTGATTCCATAAAGAATAAGTACAGCCTAATGGGTGGAGGCGGGGCAGGGACCCTCCTCCCAAAAACTGATAATGAGAGCCTTCCAATCATTGTTAATCATCAAGAGGCTGTGCGTGTTAAGACATCCACCGAGTCACTGTATTTTGTTCAAAATTGCAAAAAAGAATGAAAAAGAATTTCATTGGGGTGGTTTTCTTTAAATGCTACACAGGAAAGCTTACTTTGCTTGTATTAACCTTCTTTTTCATTTACTTTTGGTTGAACTGTCGTTCAGATAAAAGCAATTTCCGAGGAAGATCATAAGGCAAAACTGTATATTTGTACTAAATATCTTGAAACGTTTGCTCAAATTAAAGAGCGGGAGAAAAGTTCAACAGAACTCTCTATTGATCTATTGGTTGGAATCAGGGAGATGGTTCTGAATGATCCTCAGGTATATCTACGTGCTGTAATTTTCTTAATTCCTACATCCTAAGAACTATCTCAAAACACATGTTTGCCTTTATTATTTGTTAACTTTCTTTTCTTGTTGGCTTGTACACTCTTTTGGTATTCTAAATGTTGTAATTTGTTTTCCTTCAGTACTACCAAGCTCTGTTTCGTGATGGAGAGTGTTTTTTGCATATCGTCTCTTTGTTGAACGGTAATGTCGACAAGGAAATTGGAGAGAAGTTGGTTTTGAACGTCCTTCAAACTCTTACTTGTCTGCTTGCTAAAAATGAAGTCTCAAAGGTACTTCTAAAATTTGTCTATGGGCGTCTAATTAATGTTTTGGTATTGTCGTATGCTAATGTGCTGAAAAATAACGACATCTTTATTCACTATTGTTCCATATGAGCTTTATTGTCTGCTTAATGTTTCTTATACATATATCTTGAGTAAACTTGTCAGCTATTATCTGCTTAATGTTTATTGATGTACTTGTACAGGCTTCATTTAGAGCTTTGGCTGGCAAAGGTTACCAGACAATGCAAACTTTGCTCTTGGACTTCTGTCAATGCCATCCAAGTGGTGCACTCTTAGGTGTTCTACTCGATATGCTTGTTGATGGAACTTTTGACTTAAAGTTGTGCCCTATTATACAGGTGACTTGATGACGCGGTCATTCTTCTTGAGCTCTTTGTTGTCCAATCATCGTCCGACCTTTAATATCCCTCTACCTTTCATTTCTTCAGTATGATAGTTTAGAAGTTTCTAATTGATGTGGCTGTGCCTTTGTATGTGTGCGACTACTGAAATATAATATTCTCTTTACCACCATTTTGATGCAGAACGAAGATGTGATCATTCTTTATCTGAGTGTTCTGCAGAAGGTTAGAAATTCATTTCTCTTGTAGCTTGATATTCTTTCTGGATATTTCATTTCTATGTTGTGTTCCATTTTTTTTCTTTTAAATTCTTTTAATTTACTTGGCATTTAATTGGGCAGAGCAGTGAGCCATTGCAGCATCAAGGGCTTAATATATTCCAACAGCTTCTTCGGGATTCTATATCCAATCGAGCTTCTTGTGTGAGAGCAGGAATGCTGAATTTTCTTCTGGATTGGTTTGGTCAAGATAACAATGATGGCATCATTGTGAAAATTGCTCAGTTAGTTCAAGTAATAGGTGGTCATAGTGTGTCTGGGAAGGATATCCGCAAAATCTTTGCTTTGTTAAGGAGTGAGAAAGTTGGGAGACAGAAACGATATTGCTCGTTGTTGATGGCCAGTATTTTATCGATGCTATCTGAGAAGGGACCAACCGCTTTTTTTGATATGAGCGGGAACAACTCTGTAAGTCCTTAACGCTGTTGCTATAGAACTATTTTGGATCATGATGAACTTTAGAGAAGATTTCTTTCGAAATATTCTAGAACGCATTGAGTCTTTATAATCATGTTGTCTGAGTGTAAGATCATTGAAAAAGTATGTCGCAAACTTGCAGCAGATTGGGTCTGTTTTTCTGGTGATTCCTGAAATCATATCAATGTACCAACTTTGGAAGTGTGCACTTAGGTAGTTAAATTAGAATGAATTTAACCATTTAATTTATTTGAAACACGCCTCTTATTTGGATATCGTTTAATGAAACCCAAAACACAGACTCTTAATATTAGCATTATTGAAGGTTCAAAATAAGCAGTTTAATGCTGTTTATTTTCCATCTAATTAATGATTCAAGTGAATATTTGAAGTGTATGATTATTTTGCATCTCTATGGTCGTTCGTTCCCGAAGAAGCTTTATCTTTACAATTTATCTTAAATTTGAAGATGATGGCCTTTCTAAAGTTATATCTATTCTTAAAGCTTTTTGACTTCAATTTTTCTTCATATGTAGGGGATCTTAATTAAAACACCTGTTCAGTGGCCTCTCAATAAAGGCTTTTCCTTTTCATGTTGGCTTCGGGTAGAGAACTTCCCACAACATGGAACAATGGGTCTTTTCAGCTTCCTTACAGAAAATGGAAGAGGCTGCTCGGCGGTGCTTGCAAAGGACAAGTTTATTTACGAGGTTCCTCATATGTTTTGAAAATTATCTTTCAATATCTTTAATTATTTATTTGTATTAGACTTATCTTTATATTTTTATTTCTTCCGTGCTTAAATCTCCCTATCATGGACAAGTGGAGAAATCTTCTATATGCTGGTTTTTCGGCTATTTCGTGGAATATTTTGTGTGAGCTAAACTTTTTTTATTTTGGGTATGTTAGAAACCAAAACTTGAAAAAGGCTTAACCGAGCACTTGAGAGAATTACTTCTTTCCTATAATCCTTTACTCAATATTTGCTTACCTAAGCTTACCGCTAGCAAATATTGTCCTCTTTGGACTTTTCCTTCCAGGCTTCCCCTCAAGGTTTTTAAAACGCATCTGCTAGGGAGAGGTTTCCACACCCTTATAAAGAATGTTTCGTTCTCCTCCCCAACTGATGTGGGATCTTATAATCTACCTTCTCCCTTTTCTCCCTAACTCACTCGAGGGATTGAACTAGGTGCTTTCACATGCGGTAGTTTGTTTGTTGTTCTCTCTTTTTTCTCTTCGTATTCACTCCATTTAAACTATTGTTTCATTTCATTATACCAAATGAAAGGTCTCGTTTCTTCTTAGGGAAAAAACTACTTATTGCTTTGAAAACACAACTTATTGTCGAAGAGCGGAGTCAAGTAATAGATCCTAAATTACACTAACTACTCTCCAATATATTACCACTAGATCAAAAGCTTGCAAATTTGCACGAAATACTGTCTTCATGTGTATTGAAATGGAATTGACGTACCAAATGTGATTAAAAATTTAAGTTAATATCATTAAGAGAAAAAACAGCACCTAATATATATACGTGTATATATTTTAAATTAAAGAAAGTAAATTTTTTTGCCTATTCTTTTAATGATGTTCCTGGTGCAGTTGACTAATAATATTCCCTTCCCTTTTCAGTCTATCAATCTGAAGAGACAGAGCGTCCGGTTACATGTTAATATAGTCAGAAAGAAGTGGCATTTTCTTTGTATAACCCATAGTATTGGAAGAGCATTCTCTGGTGGTAGCTTATTGAGGTGTTATGTGGATGGTGATCTTATTTCTTCTGAGAGATGCAGGTTCAGGCATTAATTCTTGTACATATTGTTTCACATTTTCTTGTAATTTTCGAAAATATTTTATCGATTGTCATTGTTCTCCATGGAGAAGGTCGACTGATTATAATGATTTCCTGTTTCAGATACGCTAAAGTTAACGAACCACTAACAAATTGCACGGTTGGAGCAAAATTCAGTGCGTCTTTGAGTGAAGAAGTCGACACTAAGGAATCTGTTGAAGCTGCATTTCCGTTTCTTGGTCAGATAGGTCCTGTTTATTTATTTAGTGATGCTATTTCTTCTGAGCAAGTGCAGGGTATTCATTCGCTTGGACCAAGCTATATGTATTCATTTCTTGACAATGACATTGCTACTTTCTCTGAAAATCCATTGCCTAGAGGAATTCTTTATGCTAAAGAGAGTTTGGCATCGAAAATGATCTTCGGCCTTAACGCACAGGTTTCTCTTCTTTCTTAAGAAGATATAATTATCTACACCGACCAGTGTCTCACACCAGTTCAGTGTCCTAATGCTTTGGTTTTACCCTTTCAGGCAAGCAGTGGAAAATCATTATTTAATGTTGCTCTAACATTAGATCAAATTTCGGAAAAGAATTATTTTGAAGCTATTGCTATGGTTGGCACAGAATTATGTTCAAGACGCTTACTACAGCGGATTCTCTACTGTGTTGGAGGCGTCACTGTACTTTTTCCTCTAATTTCTCAGTCTGACAGATACGAAAGTGAAAATAATGGTCAGTTTTGTCAGAATGTAAATATAGCTGGTACAAAGGAGTGTCTAACAGCTGAAGTTATTGAACTTATTGCTTGCGTCCTTGACGAGAACTTACCGAGTCAACATCAGATGCATCTCCTTTCTGGTTTCTCCATTCTGGGATTTTTGCTGCAATCGGTTAATCCGCAGCAGCTTAATATGGAAACTCTTGCAGCTTTAAAACATCTTTTCAACGTCATTGCAAACTGTGGTATTCAATTGATTTGGTTCTTAGTTCTTATTTTAACAGATTCTTCTATTGGTACCTACATGACTATATGTCTTCTTTTGTATATTTGTTTAGGCTTTTCTGAGCTGCTCATTCAAGATGCTTTGTCTAGCATATTTCTTAATCTCTCAATCTGGATCTACTCGCCTTATGAGGTGCAGCGTGAATTATACTTGTTTCTCATTCAGCAGTTCGATAACGAGCCCAGGCTACTCAAGAATCTTTGCCGCCTCCCACTTATTCTCAATATGATTCGTAAGTTTTACTGTGACAAAGCTAAATTAAAACTTGCTTCTGGAAGCAAGACTTCTCTGCATCCACCTGGTGGAGTTCTTGGGCCTACTAGGGATGAAATACGGAAAATTCGTCTTCTTTTACTAAGCCTTGGGGAAATGAGCATTCGGTATAACGCCTTACTTTAAGACTGCTGCGTTTTTTTCTTAAATTTTTTGCATCAAGTTCTCTTTATTCTTTCAATGATATGTTCTTATCAAAGATTATGTAACCTCTTTACACATCATATTACTGTTCTTTGCAGGCAAAATATTGTAGCAATTGATATAAAAGCTCTTATTGCTTTTTTCGAAAGAAGTCAGGATGTGACGTGCATCGAGGATGTTTTGCATATGGTAATTCGAGCTATATCTCAAAAGACAGTTCTTGCTTCTTTCCACGAGCAAGTTAGTTTCATTGGTGGTTGTCCCGTTTTTATCAATCTTCTTCAGAGGTATTATTGCTCCAATATTAAATTCAATAGCCAGATTCTATTTTTGAGTTGCGTGTTCTTTTGACATGATATGCTGAAAAGAAAAATAATATTAAAAGGATACGAACTCTAGGAAAAGTGAGCGAAAAGAGAAGAAAATATTAGAAAACCGAACCTAACTGGTGCAGGCTTATGTTTATTTTTCTCCTAGTTACTATGAGTTAATATTAGTTACTGCGCGGGTTTTACTTGAGTCATTTAATTCGGTGTAAACTACCTGCCAATCAATTACTATGAGTTAATATTGGTTAGCTTAGGTAGTCAATAAAGGATCTTGGAGAGTTTTTCATCACTAACAAATTAGGTGGACTCAATGACCAAAAGAAATGAAATAGGTCCGTCAGTTAAATGGTGTATCTTGAACTCTATTTTAAGCAATTCATATCATATGGTGAAACCTTTGCAACATAGAAGGCGAAACTCATTTTCTCATATGTTTGTTTTGTAGGGAATTCGAACCTATCAGATTGCTTAGTTTGCAGTTCCTTGGTAGACTTTTGGTTGATCTTCCTTCTGAGAAGAAAGGATTAAGATTTTTCAATCTCCCAAGTGGAAAACCTAAACCAATTTCTGATAGCCATAAGAAAACTAGTTCAAGGATGCAACCGCTATTCTCAGCTATTTCTGATAGGTTGTTTCGGTTCCCACCGACAGACAATTTATGTGCTGCATTGTTCGATGTTCTTCTAGGCGGTGCAAGTCCCAAACAGGTGAGCATGGGAAATATTTATTTGAATCAAGTTGTTCGTTGCATTCCAAGATTATTATAAACGTTTCAACGTCTTACAGGTATTGCAGAAACAAAATCAGTCTGATGTACAAAAGAACAAATCTCTTGGATCTCATTTTGCTGTTCCACAGAGTTTAGTTCTTATTTTCAAGTTCCTATGTAGCTGTGAGGAAATCTCTTCAAGACTAAAAATAATCACAGATCTTCTTGATCTTCTCGACACATATCCTTCAAATATTGAAGCGTTTATGGTACTATCAGCTAACCTATTAATGTCAAAACTATTGAAATTGACCTTCCGTCGTATTATATACTAAATTGTTGTTGTAGGAATATGGGTGGAATGCTTTGTTGACAGCCTCTGTAAAGCTTGATGCTTTGCAGCAATACAGAGTTGAGTCCGTCGGTCGAGTTGACAATAAAATAAATGAGCAGAGCAGTATAAGGAAACTATTTTGTGTTGTTCTTTTGCATTACATATCGTCCGTGAAGGGTGGCTGGCAACAATTAGAAGAAACAACAACCTTCTTAATTATGCAGTCTGAGAAAGTATGTTGAATTCTTTTGCAACTTTTTATGATGTATTTTGTGGTCACTAATTCTTGTTCTACATCCTTTAAATTGCAACTATTGGTATACTTTGATGGTAATTTGGCTATACCAAAACATCTCTGTTCTTTTCGTACATAAAGCGAAATGAGAAAATAATGTTTGATACCCGGATCTCACAAAATTATGCGGGTGGGAGTTCGATTGATTCAGTAAATTCATCGTAAGAATGTACTTCGTTCAATGGATTTTTTATCCTCTTTTTTATTTTATTTTATTTTTTATTTTTTAATATTGGAATCACTTTTTGGATTTGCCACAAGGAGCAACTAGGATGTAAACCAATCATGAAGTCATGAAAAGGCTTTCTGGCTGGTCAACAAAGTAAATGATCATTTTCCTACAAGCTCTCATACCAAGAATGCATTAGTTGCACCTATTTCTTTGAGGTTTTGGTTTTTCAGTGTGCCCGACACAGTTTGTAGGGAGATGATATAGGAGGCTCTTGAGGCAAGTTGGTGTGTGTACATTGTTGTACGACCTTTAGGGTACGAGGAACAATAGAAACTATAGGGGAGTTAGAGAGGGGCCCTTGTATTCCTTCAATTTTTTTTGAAGGAAAGTTGGTTTTCTCATATAATATAAAGAAATCACTAGTTGGGGTTGGGCGCTAAAAAAGGGGTTTTCTTCTAGATTTTTTCTCTCGTGCTTTGCCACCTAACTTGAAGGATAAAAAAGATCACACAATTCTTTGGGACCTTCGGCTTCTAACAAACTTTTAGTAGGGGGAGCACTTGATTCCCTATGTAATTGTGGCACAAATAGGTTTAACAATGACAAAATCCGCTCCTATCGAGCTTTCACCTCTGAACATCTAGAAGATCAAGACCGTTAGGACTCAACACAATCATATAGGAATCCCATTCTTCCATCCTTCTGTCTTATAACGGTCTTCTAAATAAAGGGAACCACCCATGAGACTACTAATCCGACTATTGAAGGGCAAATGGATGCACAAGGAGAAACTTTTGGGGAACTAACCCTTAAATCATTCGAATATGATGAACTTGTAATCTCATTGAATCCAGGATGAGAATCAGATTGAGACAAAACAGAAATCAACAAGCTTATCAGGGTTATAAATGGAATTCTAAGATGATTCCGCTCATACAATCTCAACATGTGTTCCTAATACAACGACTCGTAACTTCCATGATGAACCCACTCAAAACCCAAAGTTGAGACAAAAAAGTAGAAATGTAACGACCAAAACTATTCGGAGGCAATAAAATACCTTCGGAACCGAAGGATTGATGATAACGAAGGTTAACTGGAAACTGAAAACAACAGCGGATGAAGGCTAGAATCTGAGGGACAGGAGAAGTGAGGAGAGAGGAGAGAACATTTTTTTCTCATTTCTCTCATTACATTCTCTACTTGTCTTTGGGTTTGATTTTGAGTTTTTCTTGCAAGTTTTGAGTTAGCTTGAGAAACATTTTGTATAATTTTTCATTTTATCAATGAAACTTATGAATTTCCTTTAAAAAAATGTGTCTATGTCGAATATTTTAAATTGGTCTCCTCAATGTGCTTCGAAATGTCTAATTAACTTACTGATTGTTTTTCTTGTTATCTCGACCCAGGGCCAAGTCTCCTTTAAATACTTTCTTCGTGATATGTACGAGGATCTGATTCAAATGTTAGTGGATTTATCTTCTGGGGAGAATATATTTGTTACACAACCGTGTCGAGATAATACACTATACCTTTTAAGGCTTGTTGATGACATGCTTATAGATGAACTCGACCATCAGTTACCGGTACTAGCATTTCTATTCCCCGCCCTCCTCATATTTTATTTGTCCACATTTTTCCTTTCTATCTAGGCCTAAAACCGTTTCTCAAGAAACAATGTCTTTGATTTATGAATGAAAAAATTGAAAAGCTTCAATTTATGCTGACCTAACTAGTGAGCTTATGGGTCCAATGACCACTCAAATTTTGAGCTTACAAGATTTTATTTCAACTCAATATCATACCGTTTAAAGCTTCCTGCCTCTGGACGGAGCATGTTCGAGTCAACCGATGGTTAAATTTGTTGGGTTACGTTTTCTACTTAAGTGGGTTTTGAGCTTCAGTTTACTATGTCGGGTTTTATTCATTTAAGCGTCGTGCAGATTCTAGCGAATGTCTTTGATGTCTCTCCCGAATCCATGGAACTGGAGCTTCACATCTCTGCCTTACATGATGTTTTGCAAGGAGAATCTGATGACCAGACAGCAAGGTACTTACTATCTCTTTCCCCATTCGCCGCCCCTCCTCTCTATCTGCATGGAAGCTTAGGTTTATCAACTCTGACACAATCTGCTGCTCTGTCTTGTGTACATAGTAAAGAATAATGCTTAGGCTAGATGAATTTGATATATCCATGTATTCTGCTGCCAGCTATCTTTATGTGTTATTTGGTGAAAGCACATTGTTATAACCTGTAAACTGTTTCTTTACATCATGTTTCTAGATATGCACAACATCAAATGGACGTTAAAGAGGACAAGATGGATGAAAAATGGTGGCGTCTTTACGATAAATTGTGGATTATTATTAGTGAGATAAATGGCAAGGGACCGAACAAATCTTTGCCGAAATCATCAGCTGGAGGTCCTACATTTGGTCAAAGGGCCCGTGGTTTAGTAGAGTCACTCAACCTTCCTGCTGCAGAGATGGCTGCAGTTGTTGTATCAGGAGGCATAGGCAGTGCATTGGGAGGAAAACCAAACAAAATTGTCGATAAGGCCATGCTTTTGCGCTCGGAGAAGTTCCCAAGAATTATTTTTCGACTTGTCATGCTTTACATTTGCAAGGCTCCTCTAGAAAAAGCGTCGCGATGTGTGCAGCAGATTATTTCACTTTTACCTTCTCTTGTGGTTACTGATGATGAGCAAAACAAAAATAGGTTGCTGCTGTTCATCTGGTAATGCTTCTTTCCCTTTATATTATGCTTATGGCATACTGAGGTACCCAATTTGGATATTTCTGATGCTTGTGAACCTAAATTAAATTAATGGCATGCGTAGGTCTTTGCTTGCTGTTAGGTCACAGTACAGAACGTTAAATACCGATGCTCGCATTCATGTCATATCGCATTTGATTCGAGAAACTGTAAGCTGTTGCAAATCAATACTTGCCAACAGTATGATAAGCACAGACGATTCTTCGGATAATGGTGCTTTTCTTAAAGAAGCTGGGTACATTCACAACCTGATACAAATAGAACGAGTTACTGCAGCTGTAAGTTACTGTGTACATTGATCCATGTGCTTTGTTGTGATTGTTTGTGCTTATTATATGTTGAACCATTTACATGGTATTAGGATAGAGGTGATTCTTAAATAACTAACATATAGATATTCTTTAGACGGTAGCGCTATGTCCATCGTATTCAAACTGAAAATTAAATGACTGTTGAGTATGTCGAATATGGATTTTACTTTTATTTATTTATTTATTATTATTTCTTTTTTGTAGATTTGATATTATTCCATTCCAATATTTTTACTTTTTTTTGGGACAAGAAACGAACTTTTTATTGATTAATGAAAAGGAAAAAGCGTTCAAAGATACAAATTCCTCAAGGAATGAAAAAAAAAAAAAAAAAAAAAAAAAAAAAAAAAAAAAAAA